GAAATAGGACTTCAAAAGTCGCTTCTACCCTTCTCCTATTGTTTACAAACATCTTTACCCAAAAAATGACTTCTTGTAACTAAGAAAAGTCAAGTAACACCTTTGATATCAATGCAAAAAAGTTTCCAAAGGAAGAAAAACTGACTGTTAAGTACCTAAAGGTCTTTCTAATCTTTGAAGCAAGAGGCTTATAGAGGTTTTTTGTAGTAAAAAGGCTTATTTTCTCCCTTTTTGACTGTCTTAACCCTCTTAGAGCTTCTATTTTCATGGTTTTTTAGGAAATTTTGCCTATCTCAGTTTGATTCTAAATTTTAGATAGTACAAATCCTCACCAAAACTGATTGGCTGACATGAAATATGTCAATTTTTGAAATGTAAACAAGCTTTTATTGGTCACACTCACATATCTCGATATATCATTAGTGATGTAGGAAAGAAAGTTCTAGAAAAAGTATCCTCTTCAATTATATATGTTCAACCTTTAGAAAACAATTATAATACTAAAAGGCAGGTAATGGATAGAAAAAAGAAAATTCAACTTCCATCTCTCACTAAGTTCTTTAGGTGGTGAAAAGGATTTCTTGAACAAAAGCTGAGATCTCCAAGCTTCTATCTCAGTTAGGCAAAGTTCTTTAAAAGATTTCTTTATCCTAGTTAAACAAATTCTTCTATAATATAATGCTGGCTCCATTAGCGTTAAGTGAATCTATACATTGGTAGAAGAATAAGTTCTTCAAAATATTCTTTTTGAAGTCACTTTCAAGAATGGTTAAGTTCCTCAAACATTATGAAGCTTAGAGAATATCCCAATTAGGCAAACCCCTTTCAAGAGAAAACTGTGAAAAGGAGCAAGAATCTTTTGTAGGGTTTTGAATTGTATTTCTTTTCCCCTTTTTTCCCCAATGCCAACTTTAGCAATTCATTGTTTTTTAGAATAATCAATAGTGACAAACTGTTGGTAATAATATTGTTGACTTAGAGGCTAATTCCAAGCTACTAGAAGAGCATAATATTGTTTCCAAAATCTGACCTAGAGTACTTAGTTTAGACTTAGTTTTGTTTAGTTCAAATTAGCTTAGTAAACTTCTCATATTTTTTAAATAGTGTAGTCCTTTAACTAATAATGTACAATGACAAGTTAGTCACTTTGTGAAAGTCTGTAAACTTTGATATCTTTCAATATCTTAATAAAGACATATTATTGCAGTATAATTGTGGGTTAAAAAAAAATTGGAAGTTATTTTATCACAGTGTCAATTTATATTTAAGGCAAGTTCAATTCTTCTTTATATATTTGATAAACTTTCAATAATATTATTGATCTTTATTCAGTAATACAAACTAGTTAATTTAATATAAAATAGCTTTTATTTTAGATTTAAAAATAATGCAAATATTAAATTGTGAAGTATTGAATTTTATTCAATTAGATATAAATGCATAATCACTATTCATAATATTTTGGATCAATTTATTCTATTCAAATATAGAATTTCAAATTGATAAGATTTATGAATATTTAACTATAGTTTCTTTAAATCACAAATATAATATATAATTAAAAATTTAGCAAAAAATTTTTTAATGAAATATATAATAAAATATTGTGAATTATATGATAAATAATCTTATATTATATAATGAAAATTGATTGATGATTTATTTATTTTAAATTATACAGTAAAAATTAATTAACAATTTATTTATATTATTATTATTATTTTTTTTTAAATGCTAACTCATCCTTGTATTAGAATGAATGTGATTTATTTAAGTAAGCAGAAGATCTAGAGATAATTGGAATAAATAACTATCCATATTGTCTAAGGATTTATAGATTAATGAATAGTATAAAGAATTACTTATTTATGTTTCACCTAACTAAAATAAGATAGTTATATGACTGTCTAGTATAGGTAATTTTTTTATAAAACAAATCACGAGAAAAAAAAATATGAAGTTTATACTATATTAATTTTCTTTATGTACTCTGATACTTTTTAGAGTATGACTTTGGTTGGTTTATTAAATAGCTTATTGTTACCTTAAAAAAAAAGATAAATTAATGTATTAAGAATTTATTTGAAGTATATAGTACTACTAATTTTGAAGACTTCTTATATGGTATCTTAACTTTAATAATACTTAACTAAAAATTTCAATAAAATAATTATGTTCAAATTATATCTTGTCTAATGGGATATCATTGTTTAGCTATTCTGAAATTGGTTCTAATGAACATATGGAAGTATCAAAACCCTCAAAGATACTAATTCTATATATAGTGATTGTATTCACCAGAGAAAAATAATTTACTCCAATCTTATTTTTTGTGTAACCACTGATATTATGGATTGTATATTCTATTTAGATATGTGAGCTACCAATAAAAACTTCTTTACATTTTTTTTACTGATGTGATTCTACTGAACCAATCAAATCTTGAGAAATTTTGTGCTACTTAAAATTTAGGATCAAACTAAGATAGATAAAATTCTCCAGAAAAGATTGAGAAAGAATACTATAAGAGATCATATAGTAGTAAAGAAAGTATTGGTTCTCTTATTATAGCAGTAACTCTGTGATATTTCTTTATGAGTGCAAAGGTAGTAGAAAGTTGGTTTTTTTTTTTAAAAAAACTTTCTTTCCATTGGTAGGAAAGGTGTCTATCTGACTTTCAAGTTACTAGCAGTCAGGTTTTTACTTGAAGAGAATTATAGACAAGAGGAAGGAGGTACTGTATATATGATTTTAGAAAGTAATCTTCAAGTTGATTTAAGAAAAATATTAAGACTTTTTTAATGTAAAGGTATAAAATCTTCTTGTAAATATTTTTTTATATGTAGTCAGAGAATTAGTGGAAAGAATAATTTATTTATATTATTAATATACTAAATTATTTATTTTTTTAATAAATATTACACAAGTGACATTATGTTGAATAAATATTTAGTATCGAAAAGTATTTTCAAGAATTATTTTTATTTTTTTTTCTTATTTTTAAATCTTTTTAATTAAAAACTTGACTTTTAATAATTAAAAAAAAATTAGATAAACACTTTTACTATTACTAATAAGAATATTTTTAAAAAAATAAATTATAAATTATCTAAAGTTTTTTTTTTATTATTGAAAAAAGTTATTTATAAAGATCTTTTTGCAATAAAAGAGTTTATTTTTTTCTTTACCAATTATTTATATTTTTTTAAAGTACTCTTTTTTTACAGTTTTTTAAATCTTTTTTATATTTTAATTTGGTTTTAAATTTTTAAGTAATACAATCTTCACTAAAAGTAAAATATAAATAAGTTTTATTATTTACAATCAATATTTTGATAATATTATTGATAATAATAAAAAAATTTTTTATAAGAATGTTTTTTATTAATCAAGCAAACTTTTAAGAAAAATAATTATAATATTAAAAGATAGTAAAAGATATATAATATAATACTTATATCTTTATAAAGTTTTTTAAATAGTAAAAAAACTTTTCACAAAGAAAGTTGAGATCTTTAAACTTCTATTTTAATTAAGTAAAATTAAAATATCACTAGTATTACTATTTTAATTAAGTTATAAGTTTCAGTTTTATATATAAAATGTATAAGATAAAAAAAAGATTTAATTTTAAGAACTTGAGATAATAAGTTTTTTAGATAATATACAATTTTAATAATCAATGAATAAGTTTCTTGGATAATTTAAAGTTAAAGAATAATTCAATTAGACATAATAAGAGAAGATTATTTATTTAAATAAAAATTTTTAAAAAATTTTGAGTTGCTTTCTTTCTTTCTTTTTTTTTTTTTTAATATAATAATTCAACAATTTGTCATTTTCAAAATAATCTATAGTAACAAATTGGTAGGTTTTTTTTTTTAAACCCACTATCAGGTTAGTTATGTGATAGTAACAAATTATTAGTAATGATCCTGATAGATAAAAGTGAATAAAATATGATTCTTTAAAGCTGATTTAATCTTGTTTTGTCCAAACTAGCATATTTTTAAGTCCTTCAATTAATAATGTATAAAGACGAGTTAGTCGTTACGTGAAAGTCCATATAATATTTAAATTCTCAATAAAGACATGCCATATTATATTTTATTATTGAAATCAAATAACGAGATATTCAGCATTATCCGGTTTCAGCACACACGTCTTAACTAACTAGGAAACGGACGACTACGTAAATTGAAAATACAGTATGCCGATAAATAAAGTGTGCAACAACATAAACCAATACCTCAAGATTATGCGGACGGACATTGGGACATGTAGCAAGAAATGTATGGCCCCTCGCTTCGCTTCGGTTGATTTCTAATTGACCATTTTAAAGTTTTTTTTTTTTTGGAGTTACGTATTGAATCATAAAAATAAATTTTTATTGCGTAGTTTTGGATTTTAAAATATAAAAGTCTACACAGTACGTATTTTCATAATATAGAATTATTATTGCGAACTTCTAAACATAATAGAATAGTTTGCATGTGAACTTACGATAATTATTTCATTCGGAATAAGGTTGACGGACCAAAATTTAAAATATAATGTGAAATTAATATGTGCGCGTATAACGTTGCTATCATAAATATGGTTAGTAATACAAGCACGCAAATTGTCAATCACTTCGAGCTCGAACGAACAGTTGTCAGGAGAACAATTTTTAGCATTGCTTTATTGATTATATAATAGTTATGCGTAAAATTAATGATGATACAAGAAGGAAAGAATTATACACAACCACCATAATGGAAATAAGACTATTTATATTTACTATATTCTTACAAGTTAGGAATAAAAGGAAAATTTGAATTTTTAACTGGCACTCAAGGGAATACTCTGAGGGAAGTTGAATACATTCTTCGGATCATATTTATTCTTCACATTAACCAGTTTTCCGAAATTTGATCCGTAATATCTATGTTGCCAATCTTTTAAATCCCGATCAATATAATTTTGATAACTAAAAAAGCTGGTGAACTTTTGCTGAAAACTAACACCAAATGACGCAAGCTTGCTCAGACACGTCTTGTCGGTGGATTCATCACCTGTCAGTGTGGTGTATAATTGTATCATGTACAGAGAGTCTCGGTGTACAAACGCCGTTTCGTTGGCAGCAATCGAATTCACGGCTCCGCCTCCAATTAAATCAGTTTCGGCAAAGGTCGAACATTGTATCGTGCTGATAAAGTTGGTGAGGGCCTTTACTCCCGCACTAGTAAGCCCAGGTGATCCCACGAAAAATGATTTTGCTTTAAAACTATTTGGATGATGAGTGGGGTTTATCGTCCCCTGGACACCTTGATATCCCCATCGGACGACACTTGAGAAGAATGATTCTTCGAAAAATTGCGTACCCGTAGGACTCGATGACTTTATAAAATTTGCTAGGACAGATCTAGCTGACGCACTTGGTCCAAGGTAAACACCGACAATCTGTGCAGTATTTTGAGAGATCGACAATGACATCGTTACCTCGGCTGGGATACCTGAACCGAGTCGATTGAGTGCATTAAAAGCTGATTGAATGTTAGATAGCTCATAGTCGAAACTGAAAGAGGTGACCGTGGAGGGAGTAGGTGAGAGCTTAAATGTTATTTCCGTAACAATTCCATAACTTCCGCCCCCGGCGCCACGAAGAGCAAAAAATAAATCCGAGTTCTTGTTAGCGTTGGCCGTTATTAGATCTCCGTTTGCGTTTACCATGTCGATCGATAATATGTTATCTGATGCCAAGCCAAATTTTCGTCCATATAATCCGTAACCCTATTAACAAATTAATTGTTATTAGCGAAAATAATTTAACAAATGGTTGGAATTTATGAAATTATATGAAAAAGAAAAATGCTTACCCCACCCAAACTATGCCCGCCCATGCCAACACTGGGGCAACTTCCGGCAGGTATTAAAAATCCCGATTTACTTAAGGTGTTATATATAGTACCTAACCTATTTCCTGCGCCGATGACTGCAGTCTTTTTCTTGGAATCAATGTTAATGTTATTTAAGTCTGTCATGTCCACCACTAAAATCCCATTTCTACCGCCTAGGCAATAGTTCTCATACGAATGACCACCCGATCTTGCCGTAACTCCAATTTTCAAGGTGGTAGCGCATTTTACTGATATTTGAACGTCGTTAGTTGAGGAGGCGTAGACTATTGCAGCGGGATCATAGGAGATACGTGTATTCTCGTCAATGATATCTTGAGAATATTCGGCGTCATTGGGAAATACCTTTTTCCCTTGAACTTGCTTCAGGCAATCTTGAAGAGTTATGGTGACAGCATCAACGATGGTCAGAGCGAAGCACAGGAAGTATAAACAAAAAATCAATTTCTGAAATTTTGAAGACATGTTTGTTTTTTCCTCTACAACTATTTGAAAATGTTATTGCAATGTTCAATAACTTTTCGAGATATTTATATCTAAAAAACGATCAACGCTTTCGGATGTAATACAATATGATCATTGAAGCAGTATGGGTCAGCCCTGAATTCGGATTCATATTTTTAGAAGCCCCTTCTACTTTATTATGCTGTTGCTTAGACGCAATCGCGTAGTACAATTAAAAGATAACGCCTTTTGAATTCCTGTACCTCTAGCCGTACAACAACAATAACAACTTTCTTGCTTTTTTCCAATTTACAAGAAACTAATTCTGTAAAATTCTGTAATTATCTTCTAGCTCTAAACCGGCGATTCACGACCAAATACCAACATACTATAAAACTGGATTTCAATTTAAATCCGGGGAGTCAGTTGGTTGTAACATATGCAAAATTAATTATCAAACCGGTCCGGCAGAAACTAATCAAAGTCTTTCAAAATAGCCTAATACGGTAATAACCTCATACGTAACTCGAAGGGAGTATGGATGTCGATCACACCTCGGAGATTATAAACTGCGGCATCAATATGTATTTAAACAATCACTTTAAAATCCTCTGTAAATGTAATGGTTTTGAACTGCTATTTTTATCCGTAATTACAAATATATAAATATCGCTCGGGACTGTCGGCGTCCATTGATGTTCAAGCTCTACAAAATCACAAGAACACGTGAATCTCACTAGCCGCCGAGACAAGTCGATACGCAAAAAGCGTGAGACGATCCCAATTTAAATTGATATGCGAACTTTCCCCCTTCACCTTTTTCATGACATAATATTTTTCTGATTCATCTAGTTTTCCTATTTCCACCTTCCCACCCTTTTTACTAACCTCACCCCAGCTCGCAAACTATCTCCAAGATTAACTTATTGTTTTGGGTCGGGTTTGCTTGTTTTCCCTCGCGTCTGGCATCGACTGTAGGTCCCGGTCGCGACATTTGATGACGGTTTCATCGATTGCTTAATTCAACCCATCACATTACTACCTTTAACACAAATGACGACAATATTTTATCGCATTTATTTTTAGAACCAAAAAATTTTTGCATGAAATTACTATTAATATATTATTAATAATATTATTATTATTATTGACTGTGATTCTATTTTTAGAAACAAAATACTATATGATGTCTATTGTAGATAAATAAAAAAAAGAGGTTTTTTTTTTTTTTTTACAATGGCGAAATTAATAAGCAAATAAGCGAACGCAGTACTACTGCTGTATATACAGTATATACTGTAAACAATATATTGAAGATTATGACTTCAAATTCTAGTTAACTTTTTTATAAGTTTGTTCATTTTGCTTCTAAATTGAGACCGAGATATTTATGCCCTTTTATATAGGCTTTCACCCAGGTTTTTGTGTTTACTTAATAAATATAAACATATCATATCTTTTTAAGTATGCAGATATACTGTAAAATATCAGTTGGCCTTTTAATCTATATCTACTAGACACACATGTTAGATAATAATGTTTTCATCAGTTTTAGGTTCTTGAAAAACTTTTTTTTCAAGTTTCTTTCTATTTTTGATAATTTACAAGTGACCTGAAGATTATATGTTGAATAGTAAAATTGTCCTCTTTTCAATTGATTTTTTTTTTATATGTTTGCAAATATTTTCTTTCTCTTACATTTAAAAGACTAACCATTCAATTCTATTATTGACTTTTTTTTTAAAAAGCTTTTTTCTTTTTGTAGTAATTTAAAATATTACCTAGGTATACCTTGATTTATCTTCTGTTTCTCCTAAGATATTAGCCATCATTATACTGGATTTATAGGATTTTTTTCTTTTTATGAAATATAGATTTTTAATAGAACCATATTTCTATTTCTAGTAACATAGGAGTTATATTTATTAATACAATAATTTTTAATTATTCTTAAAGCTTTTACAGTTTTATCTCTTTTACTTCTTGAATACACATTATTGTAATTTTATTGTTTATTGTTAATTCAATATTTAACTGCTTAGTAATTTTTATTAATTATCAATCTGACTTATATGAATCTTCTAAATTCATAATAATTTCCAAGAACCTATTTTAATATAAAATTGTAAAAGATCATTCTTTTCTTTTTCTAGTTACCAGAGATACATAATATATTGAACTAGAATTTGTTTCTTATAAGAAGTTATTTTGTTAATCTCAAGTATCTTGATTAAGACACTATCTAAAATAATATATATTTTTGATAATAAAGTCATTATTTATTAAATGTCTCTCTACTATTATACAATAGTTGTTAAAAAGTTCATAGGTTAAAATGTTTATTATATTTTCTTAAAAGATTAATTAAAATATTTACTATATTCACATTTCTTTTATCCAACTTTCTTTTATTTACTATCTATAATATATATTAGATTATATTTATATTTGCTATAGTATAAATAGAAATTACAAAAAATCTAATTCAAATCTAAATATACAATCCGCAAATAATTAATATTATATATATAATATAAAAAAGTTTATTGTAAAAAAATTTTTTTTAAAAAAATTTAAATATTTATTCAAATTTAATAAATAATATATTATTCAAAAGTTCTAATTGTAAAAAATTCAATAGTAATAAATTATTTAAGTTTAATTATCGATTATAAAGTTATAACTATTTTTAAAACATTTTTAAAATAATTATAACTTTATAACTAATAATTAAATTCAAATAATTTTATTATTATTGAATTCTTTATAATTAGAGTTTTCAAATAGTAATTAATTGTCAAATTTGAATAAATATTTAAAAAGCTTTTAATTAAAAAATTGGTTTTTTTAAAAAAAATTTTTGCAATAAACTTTTTATATTATATTGTAGCAGGCTAATCGGCAAGTCTGTCACTAATGACCAAAAGCTCATGTAATCTGTAAATAGAAAGGTCCGTCCTTCTATCACACATACACAAAACAATACCAAAATCAAGGCAGAGGCGTAAAAAGATTTGGGCGAGTCTCA